CCTCCCTCCCACCCTGCCATGGCTCTGCCCACCCAGAGGGGCAGGCAGCCTGCTATTGCCCCAGCTATGCCCCACCCAGCTTGGGCCACCACACCTGGACTGCCAGGGCAGGGGTGAGTATTGCCCACATTGGCCTGGGGCCCTAGTTGGGCACCTAGAGACCTGCACACTCCTGACCCTGACCCTGTGCTCCGGGAGCTGCTCGGGCAGCGATGTGGGGTATGCTTAGCCTCACGTGGCAGAGGCTCCAGACCTGCCCCTGGGTCCAGAGCTGAGAATCTAGTGACCCCCAGCTATGCCAAGGTGGAGGGCAGACTGCAAAGTAGGAACAGATCCCTTCCCCTGTCCCTCCACCCAGCTTTATACAGGTCGTCCAGGCTTGGGGACAGAATGGACACTGGCTGCCAGGCCACTCTGACCAGAGCCATCCCTTTTCCCCATCCCGGGCACCGGGCCCTCCTGTGCTGTGTGCCCCACCTTCCCTGCCTGCGTCCCAGAGGGGCTGTGTAGTGGGGTATAGGCGTGTGTGCGTGTACAGGTCTCTGGGCACCTGTGTGCACACGTGTGTGTTCATTTAGGAGTGTATCACTCAAGGCATTTGAGGTGGGGGATGGGAGGACCCCGAGCCATGGCAGCTCCCCTGTTCTCCGTCATTCTCCTCCTTAGATCCAGTTCTGCAGGGGAGGGGGTGGCGCAGGCACAGGAGGAGCTGGGGCTCTGGGTTGGGGCTCGGGGAGGATCCCTGGGACGGAAGGAGGCTGAGGAAGGGCTGGCGGGCAGAGCCCCTCGGGGGACCCGGAGGAGGCCAGATGCCCTGGCGCTGAACCCGTGCGGCCACCTCCCCCCTGAGTAAGCAGAGCAGCCTCAGTTTGCTCACCTGTAAAATAGGGTTAATCAGCGCCACCTGTGAGGCGGTTGTGCTTGTTAAGGGATTAAGTGCTTAGTACCTCGTGCTGTCCTGGAGGATGGTGCGGGGTCAGGCACCCACCCACCCGCACGTGGACACACGGCCCCGCCTATCCACAGAGGAACTAGGGAAACTGACAAGCCGCCAGTCTGGGCACTTCGTGGGAGCAGACAAGAGGCCGGGACGAGGGGCTTGCGTTCAGAAGGGCCTCCTCTTTGGTGTGGTGCACACAGGGCCCGGAGCCAAACCTCGGCCCGGCAGAGCAGGGCAGAGCTCAGATACCCCACCCAGCCCTCAGCCATTTCTCTGGCTTCTTCCGAGGAGGCCAGTAGCGGGTAGGGAAAGAGGAGCAAATCCCCTGCCGTCCAGGCCCTTGGTCAGCATTGCCTCCTCGACTCTCACTCCAACCCCGGGATGGGAGAGCTATTAACCCCTTTTACAGATGATAAAACGGAGGCTCAGGAGACTACAGAACTCATCCCCTTTACCCAGCTCATAAGTGCAGGAGCGGCCCGGCCAGGCCAGCCTGGCTCTAAAACCTGTGTGCCCCTTCCCAGGAGCTGAGCAGTGGGGGGTGGGAAGTGCCCTCCTGGGAGCTCCTTTCCACCAAGGTGGGGGCAGGGGCAGGAGAAGAGCTCAGCTCCCCTCCCCTTAGAGGCGGGCCTGGCCGTGAGCAGCCAAGGAGCCGTTCCCCTGAGCGCTGTCCTGGGGTTGCCGGCTCTGCCTCATGCCGCAGCCGCCTCCCTACATCCCTGCGCACCGTCCCGAAGGAAAAAATACAATTTCAGGAACGAGAACAGGCGCGAGGGCAGCTAAGCCCTGTCTGCTTACGGCTCCGCCGGCTCCCTGGGCTCCGCGGTGGTTCAGAGTGAGTGAGGGCTGCCATCTTGTGGACGGACCCTCTGTGGCCGGCCAGCCGGCCACGTGGCCTCCGTGGACACGGGCAGGCATGGAGCTGTGGCAGATCCGGAGAGAAATTGACACAGAACATTTTCAACAGCCACAGACGGAAGCGTGCAGCCGAGTGGACAGCCGGGCATGTGGGTTTAGGGTCTATGAGGAAAGTTTTGTTTGGGCTTCGGGGGGAGGGGAATCAGGAAGAAGGAAGGGCCTCGTTCACAGAAAGGTGAGTCACCTGGCCCCCATGGTAAGGCACACAGACAGAGAAAGGCTGCTCGGACCCCCCACACACGCCTGCCCTAGGCCAGGACCTTTGGGGGAGGGGAGATTACACTAGCACTGAGTCAGCCTCACTCCCCCATTCTCAGAGTGGTGCCAGGGGGCCTCTGTTAAGAGGGTCATGAATGGACCCAGCCAGGCAGCTTAGGGGAACAGGGATGCCTGCTGACCCAGGGGCCTGGAGGCCCTGGCTGCTGTGTCCCCAACCCCCGATCCACAGCCTTTGCTGTTTTCCTCTGCTCAGGGCCTGAAGCCAATGGACCACAACGGGCTGGCGGATCCCTATGTCAAGCTGCACCTGCTGCCAGGAGCCAGTAAGGTGAGGGGGGTCTGCCCGAGCTAGGCCTGCCAACCAGCTCTGCCTACTGTGACAGGGGCCCAGGCTGGGCTTGAGGCACCCAGGGAGGCCCATAGCTCTCACACACACCCTGAGCCCGAACAAGCTGATGGGCCCTCAGCCATTCACCTCCACCCAGAGCACCGAGTCAGCCCCACACTGTCCAGACCTCCCAGGAACCTCAGGTCAGCACTACCTGCCTGCTGAGTTGGGGAAACCTTCCAGAGAATTTCTAGGCCAGCGTTTTATAAGCAGCAGTCTTTGCTGGAGATTAATATTATATTTTTAAAAGGGGGGGGGGAGTCTGGTCAAATAACATTGGAAAACATTGTTAAACAGGTTTCTTTACTGCAGGACTTATCAGAGCCTTTAGTGTGTTGATGGGCTGCTCTGTGATGTTCCACAAAGGGGACTGAGTAGACAGTGTCTGCCCAATTTTTTTGGCCACAGAACCCAGGTTCCCATGCCAGATGACCCAGCAGGCAGAACAAGCGCGTGGTGCATCTAGGAAAGGAGAGAAAAATAATGTTTAGCAAAAATTTGCTATGAAACAAAAGCATCAAGGTGACCCTCAGCACTGGAAGATCAGAACTTTGTTAGACTTCCTTGCACATGTCTTACAGTTCAGTGGTGTTTTATTTTTAATTTCATGGAAGGGAAAGGTCACATCTTTTTAGATGTGGGCCTTGCCCTTGCCCTGGGACCCCCAGACCTCTCAAGAGGTGAACTGTACAGATCCCATGTCACAGGGGACTCAGCTAGAGACCAGTTGTGGTCCCTTCTGGGGGCTCTACGAGAGAAGCCATGGCCCATCCCTTCCCAGTTTATAGAGGCCACCCTGTCATGTCTTCATCTCTCTGACCTCTTCCTTCATCACGCCCCCCTCTGGCTCTCCTCTCCTCTTCCACTTTTAAGGACCCTGTGATTACACTGGACCCACCCGGGTCACCTAGATAATCTCCCTACTTTAAAGTCAGCTGATCAACAACCTTAATTCCCTTTTGCCTTAAACATACTCAGGTTCAGGGGCCATTATTCTTCCCACCGCACTTTCATGCTCATAGGATCGGGTTTTTTGCTCTCTTCAGGCAAATAAGCTCAGAACAAAAACCCTCCGAAACACTCTGAACCCCACGTGGAACGAGACCCTCACTTACTACGGGATCACGGACGAAGACATGATTCGAAAGACCCTGCGGTGGGTGAGGGCCCCGGGCCATAGGCTCCCTCCCCACCCACGCCTGCCCCAGCCTTGTCCGCTCCCCACCCACCGCTTGCAAATCCCCACTGACTTCGGAAGCCAAGTGAGAGCACCCGGTATGTCTGAAGAGCTGGCCGTGCCCTTGCCCTCCAGGATCTCCGTGTGCGATGAAGACAAATTCCGCCACAATGAGTTCATCGGGGAGACACGAGTGCCCCTGAAAAAGCTGAAGCCCAACCACACCAAGACGTTCAGCATCTGCCTGGAGAAGCAGCTGCCGGTGAGTGGGCCACATGCTCTGCCAGTTGTCCAGGGCCTTCCCTGCTGTAGCTCAGCATTTATTGAGCACCTACTATGTGCCTGGCAGACAAAAATCCTTGCCCGTGTGGAACTTGAGCGGAAGACAGATCCAACACAGGGTAAGTCACCCATTCTTATCATATGTTAGACAGTGACCAAGGCCAAGAAGGAAAGCGTGAAAGGGGCTGATGGTTTAGACGTGTGCTCCAGAAAGTTCTCACCAGGCAAGCTGGAGTATTCCAGGCAGGGAGAACAGCAAATACAAAGCCCTGTATGAGAAGTGCCCAACGTGTTGGAGGCAAGAAGCCTAGGAGAGGGTGTCCTAGGAGTTGAGAGCAGAGGTTAGGGAGTAAGGAAGCTGGGAAGGACTTAGGCCTTCACCCTGAGTGAGATGGGCTACAGGAGGGTGCTAGGCAGGGGCTAAGGCATTGGCTACATTTTTTTTTAATATGTCTTTTTTTTTTAATTTTTTAAACTTTATTCTTTTTTTTTTAATATGTCTATTGATTTCAGAGAGAGGAAAGGAGAGGGAGAGAGAGAGAGAAACATCAATGATGAGAGAGTGACTGATCGAGCCCACAACCCGGGCATGTGCCCTGACCAGGAATCAAACTGTGATCGCCTGGATCCTAGGTCGACGCTCAACCCGAGCCATGCCCAGCCAGGCGTCTTTATTTTTTTTCAAAATATATCTTTATTGATTTCAGAGAGAAGGGAGAGGGAGAAAGATAGAAACATCAATGATGAGAGTCATTGATCGGCTGCCTCCTGCATGGCCTCTGTTTGGGATCAAGCCCGCAACCCGGGCATGTGCCCGGACCAGGACTCAAACTGCGATCTCCTGGATCATAGGTCGATGCTCAACTGCTGAGCCACGCCAGTCGGGCTCAACTACATTTTAACAGACTCTCTGGGCTCAGTGGGAGAGGAGGGTGAGTGGGGAGAGCAATGAGGAGAGGGGCTGACCCAGGCCTGGGCGGGGGCAGCAGTGGAGGGGAGAGGAGCTGGGGCCTGGACGAGTGTGCTGGCAGGTCTGCGTTCCGGGGCCGGGCCCAAGCACCTGGGAAGATAAAGGGTCATCAGCTGTGATGTAGAGGACCTTGGGAGGAGCAGCTGGGACGCAGGAACTCAACTGGAGTGTTAGGTGTGAGATACCCAGAGGAGACAGGAAGTAATTGTTTCCTAGAAATTGCAATTGTTTGAAAATGATGTTAAAACTGACTTTGCCCCCTGGCCGTCTGCAACAGCTGAGCCCTCCCAGAGTTTCGTCCATTTGTGTCTCAGCTCTGCCTCCCCTCGGGGGGGCCTCACCTTCACCCAGTTCGGAAGGGCTGGGAGGGTTTGGCCAGGAGGCCCCAGGGTCCTGAGAAACCTTGACCCTCCGACAGCCCAGTGTTCAGGGTACAATCCTTTTCCTGCGACAATCCCTCCAGGGGCCTGGGCAAGGGGAAAGCTGTAGAGAACAAAGTTCAGCGACTGTCCCCCATGTGTGGGGCCTGGGCCCTGGGCCACATACTCCTCAGAGCAGCCTGGCTGGCTCAAGCCCTGGGAACAGTCGACCTGAGGCCAGAGCTCCCCTCCAGAATCCCAGCTCTGTCTTCTTGCATAACTTGATCAAATTGTATTCCCTTGTCACGCTCTCTCCCACTCATAGACATTTGTGTGATGGATATGACCTTTTTATTTTATTATTAGTCACTAACCACAGGTAACCCAGTTTTTCCAAATGATCTATGTCACTTATAAAAAGCAACATCAACTCCTACTATAGTTGTGTTCCTGGGATTTGATCCCCAGTATAAATAAGCAACTGGGGGGAGGGGGGAGCATGTGTGTGTGTGCATGTGAATTGTGAGCGCATTGCATGTGTGAGCATGTATATATGCATGTGAACATGTGCATGTGTGGGCAAATATGAGTGGAATGCATGTGTGACAGTGTGCACATGGGTGGTGAGTGTGCAGGCCTGTACACGGGCATGATTGGGGTTTTGCTGAGTTTTGCTTGAATTTGCCAGGAGCTTGTTAGTCTGGTTTCGGGGACCAGGGCTCCCACAGGGGTGCAGCTTAGAATTGACCACTCTGGCAGCAAAGACACATTTTGATGCTACATTTTAGATTTTACATAGTCTGTGGACTTACTTGTTCTCAGTAAATACTGAATGATACAGATTAATGGTCTTCATATGTAACGACCCCTACACATTCCCCTGAAAAAACAGCTGAAAATACCTGTGTTCATTTATATTGTTTAATTCTCACACATCACACAAACACAAGAGTCATGGTTTGGCGAGGCCCTAGGCCAGAGTGGCAGACAGGTACTAACTCGCACACGCCCCTGACTGAGCACTGTGTGGAAGATGCTGAGGCTGCACTTGAGCTCTTGGTGATCGGTGACCAATTACCCACATCTGCTCTGGGCAGGGGAGCTGGGGAAGGTGGTCCGTCCTTCACTTCACAGGAGCCCCATCTCCAGGGACACGTAGGTGTGGCCCCTGCCTGCGAGGGCCCAGCAGCCATCCCTTTAGCGATAAGCAGGGTACAGTCGTGGGCAAAGGGACATGGCTGAGACTTTGAAAGGGGCCTGGCAGAGGACCCTTGGGGGCCACAGGGCTCCAGCAGGGTGTGTCTGGGTGGACAGAGGGTAAAGGAGAGGGGTCCACGTGAGCAGCAGCCAGAGTGTGGAAACGGGTGATCTCAGGAGGGTGAGGAAGGGAGAAGCGCGAGGCTGGCTGGGTGGGGAAGCCAGTGAGGCCTAGAGTTGCCATCCGATCCTGGAGGTGGACACAGACCTGGGTGGCCCCCACCTGCCTCCCGGCTCCCCCTAGTGTTCAGAATGCGTCAGAGTCTGTCTTCCATCCCCTGTACCCTGAGCGGCTCCAGGAAGCACCTTCAGGGGGCTGGGGCCAGGGTGACCCCTCACCATCCACAGGCTCCCTTTGTCCTGGGCCTGTGGTTGGCTTGGTGGCCCAGGAAGGGATGGGAGCAGGTGAGGACAGTCCGGTGCCTGCCCGCCCCACAGGTGGACAAGACGGAAGACAAGTCCCTGGAGGAGCGGGGCCGCATCCTCATCTCCCTCAAGTACAGCTCGCAGAAGCAGGGCCTGCTGGTCGGCATCGTGCGCTGCGCACACCTGGCCGCCATGGACGCCAACGGCTACTCCGATCCCTACGTGAAAACGTGAGTGTGCGGCCAGCCCGGCCACCTTCTCCCGTTACCTCGGGGGTCAGGTCCATGTGACAAGACCAGTAGTCTGTGTGGCCAGCACAGAGAGAGCACCTGAAGCGTGGTGGGCACGGTGCCCACAGGCTGAATTCTCTTCTGTGCTCCCTTGGCAACTCCACAGGTTGTGTGGCCAGCCCCGTTTCACAGGTGAGGAAACTGAAGCCTGTAGAAGTTGAGTGACTGCAGGGTCATGCAGAGAGACAGTAGTTATCTCTTGATGCCCTATTCAGGCCTCGTGTCCACCGGGCACAGGAGGCGCCACAAGCAGATTGCAGGAGGCAGGAAAGGCTAGCCCATGCCAAGAGGCTGGGAGATCCAGACAAGGAATTCTGCCAAAATTTAGTGCTGCCCACATGTGCCCAGCCCTGCACTGGTGCCACAGGTGCAGATAAGGGTCCACCCAGTCCCGTCAGCAGGAGCTCATGGTGGCGCTGGGGAGAGACACTAACTCGGGCTGTGCAAGGCAACCTGGGCCCGAGTGGTGAATCTGTGCCCAGATAGGCTGTGCTCTAGCTCTAAGAGGCAGGCAGGAGCTGGTGGCCCTTCAGGTGGGGATGAAGCAGGTGTTGCAGTGACCACCATCAGGGCTTTGGGCCCTCCACAAAAGATGGGTGTTAGTCTGTATTCAGTGAGACTCTCGAAGGGTAGGACTGGGCGGGGGGAGAAACTTGGCTCAGCAGAAAGTTTTCCTCTTCAGTCAGAGGAACAGAGCAGTTGGGATGGGCCTGGCCTGAGGGAGGGTGAGATAGATGGTCCAGGTGACAGAAGCCACAGGGATGTCTTGACACCACAGGGAGGCCCATGCTGCCACATGACACATCTCTGGGGCCACTGTTTCCACTGGTCACTATCAAATTTCTGTTGCTTTTTAAATCAGTTGATGAAAATGGTGCAGACACTTTGGAAAACAGTCTGGCAGTTACTCAGAAGGTTAAGCATGGGCTTACCACATGACCCAGCAATTCCACTCTGAGGTATATACCCAAGAACTAAAAAACACATGTCCCCACAAAACCATGTACACAAATGTTCATAGTCGCATTATTCACAATAGACAAAAGGTAGAAAGAACCTAAATGTCCATCAGCTGGTCAATAAACAAAGTGTGGTCTATCCGCACAGTGGAGTATTACTTGGTCATAAAAAGGAGTGAAATTCTGACCCATGCTATAACGCGTATGAACTTTAAAGCATTATACTAAGGGAAAGAAGCCAGTCACAAAAGGCCACACATTGTGATTCTATTTATATGACCTGTCTAGAGCAGGCACATCCATAGAGCCAGAAAGCAGGTCAGTAGTGGCCGGGGCTGGGGGAGGTTGGGGGAAACGAGGAGTGACTGCTAATGAGCACTGGACTTCTTCCTGGGATGGTAAATGTTAAAAAATAGTGATGGTGGTTGCACAACTGTGTGAATATACTAAAAACCACTGAATTATATACCTTAAGGGGGTGCACTGTACCTGGCCAGTGTGGCTCAGTGGGTTGAGCGTCCTCCAGTGCACCAGAAGGCTGCCAGTTCAGTTACCAATCAGCGCACATGCCTGGGTTGTGGCTTGATCCCCGGTAGGGGCCCTGTGGGAGGCAGCCAATCAGTGTTTCTATCTCTCCCTCCCTTCCTCACTCTTAAGTCAATTTTAAGAAAAAAACTTCTTTTGAAGGGCACATCGTACAGCACGTGAATTCTATCTCAGTAAAGCTGTTATTTAATTCCACTTCATCAGGCTCCAGGAGCGGCAGCACCCAGGTGTAATGGGAAGCTGGCCAGTATCACTGGGGAGGTCAGGTTCCTTCACATGGGGTAGGGGCTCCTCATCTTCCACATAAAAAAACTGAATTGGGCCCCAACATCAACCATTAGCAAAACAATGATTTTCAGTGGATTAGAGACCAGTGTGAGGGGAAGTGCTATAACTGCTCAGGAGACTATAAACTGCTGGCAGGAAAGTCGGCCATTCCAGTCAAGTAGAAAATTGTGTGGCCTGTGGCTGCATTTCCCTCCTTTGTATCCTAGAAACCCGGACCTGGGTGGTTTACTGCAGCATCACTTGCCACAGTGATAATCTGGAAATAACCAAGCTTTCATCAGCAGAGGAACAGCTTCACAGAATGCGGCACATGCACAGAATGGAGTACTGTGCAGTTAAAATGTGTAAATTAGGACTAAATGAATTAACATGGGCAGCTAGCTATCCAAAACATGCTCTGCCCACAGCAGACTGCAGAAGAGGGCACAGGGTGTGATGCTGCTTCTGGCCGTTCCTTAAGGCCTGCAGAGCCTCTCAGAGGATGAGGGAGGGGAAAGGGACTCGAAAGGGGAGCAAAGTGCCACCACCTGTACCCTGACACTAGCATTTTTTTATGGTGGGAAAAAGCCTGAATCCAAAATGGTGACTTTTTTTGTTTTTAATATAGCTTTATTAATTTCAGAGAGGAAGGGAGATGGAGAGAGGTAGAAACATCAATGACGAGAGTCACTGATCGGCTGCCTCCTGCATGCCCCCGCTGGGAATCAAGCCCACCACCCAGGCTTGTGCCCTGACCGGGAATCGAACCTCGATCTCCTGGATCTCAGGTTGATGCTCAACTGCTGAGCCACACCAGCCGGGAACTTTTTTAGGAGATTTATTATTACTGTTTCAATACTCTTACTAGTGACCAGTCTATTTAGATCTTCCACGTCTTCATGATTAAGTCTAGGAAGTTTGTATACTTCTAAGAATTTGTCCATTTCTTCTAGGTTATCAAATGTGGCGGCGTGTAGTCTTTCACGAATTCCTGCATAATCCTTTGTATTTCTGTCCGTTGTAACTTCTTTTATTTCTGATTTTACTTATTTGAGTCTTTTTTTTTTCCTTAGTGTTATTTCTTTTCGTTCTCTATTTCATTTATTTCTGCTGTTTTTATTATTTCCTTCTATTGACTTTGGGTTTCATTTGTTCTTTTCCTAGTTCTTGAAGTTGTAATATTACATTATTTGGGAATTTTCTTGTATCCTGAGGTAGACCTGTGAAGCTGTAAACTTCTCTCAGTACTTTTGTTGCATCCTAAGAATTTTGGTATGTTGTGTTTTGTCTCTGTATATTGGCCTCTGATTTCTTCTTTGATCCAATAGTTGTTCATCAGCATGCTGTTTAACCTCTACATATTTGTGGTTTCTTCAGCTTGCTTCTTGTAAATTTCCAGTTTCATAGTATTGTGGTTGGAAAATATGCTTGGTATGATTTCGCTCATATTTATTGAGACTAGTTTTATGCCCCCAACATGTGGTCTATTCTTGAGATTCCATTTTATTTTAAAATGTTCATCTTTGGGGGATGGAACACTATATAAATATCAGTTAAGCCATTTGGTCTAATGTCATTTAATGCCAGCATTTCCTTATTGACTTTTTGCCTGGATGATCTATTTATTGCTGTCAGTGGGGTATTTATGTCCCCTACTGTAATTGTATTTTTTGTCAGTTACTCTCTTTAGGTCTGTTAGTAATTGCTTTATAGATCTTGGTGCTCCCAGCTAGTGTGCATATATATTAAGTTATGTCTTCTTGATGAATTGTGTCCTTTATCATTATAAAATGTTCATCTTTGTCTCGTTACCTTTTTTGTCTTGAAGCCTATTTTTTCTGATAGAAGTACTGCTACACCCCCACATGTCTCTGGATGCCATTTGCTTGGAGGATCATCTTCCACCCCTTCGCTTTGAGCCTATGTTTGTCTTTGGTTCTTGTTTTTAAATCCATCCCTCTACTCTGTTTTTTCATTGGTAAGTTCAGTCCATTTACATTTAGGGTGATTGATATATGAGGACTTGCTACAGCCATTTTACCTTTTGTTTTCAGTCATAGATCAGCTGCTTCCTGCACGCCCCCTATTGGGGATCAAGCCCGCAACCCAGGCATGTGCCCTGACAGGGAATCGAACCTTTATCTGGATCATAGGTGCTCAACCACTGAGCTACTCTGCCAGGCTGTCGTTAATTTTTGACAGTTTGAATAAAATGTGTCTTGGAGAAGGTCTTTTTGTATTAATATAATTAGCTATCCTGTTAGCTTCCTATACTCTAAAGTCCAGTTCTTCCCACAGGCCTAGGAAGTTCTCGTCAATTATTCTTTTGAGTAGGCTGTCTCCTTCTGTTATACCCATTACCCTTATGTTTCTCTTTCTGATGGAGTCAGACAGTTCTTGCTGAGTTTTCATTTTAAAATATCTTTATTGATTTCTGAGAGACAAAGGGAGAGAGAGAGATAGAAACATCAATGTTGAGAATCTCATCGATCAGCTGCCCCCTGCATGCCCCCCACTGGGGATCGAGCCCACAACCCAGGTATGTGCCCTGACCAGGAACCAAACTTTGATCTCCTGGATCCTAGGTCAATGCTCACACCAGCTGGGCAGTTCTTTCCTTTTTTAAACTCAGTTCTCTTTCTCCTTCCTCCTGAGTCATTTCTAGGTTTCTATCTTCAACCTAGCTAGTTCTCTCTTCCAAGTGGTCTACTCTATGTCCAGTGTTCTCTAATGTATTCCTCATCTATTGAGTTTTACATTTCCAGAATTTGTTTGGTTCTTTTTTTATAGTTTCAATCTCTTTGGTAAAGTATCCCTTTTGTTCATAGATTCTATTTCTGAGCTCACTGTGCTGCCTTTGAGTTCTCTGGTATCTCATGAGCTTTCTCATAACTGCAATCTGAACTTCTCTGCCACTTAAGTCACAGTCTTCTATGACTTTGGTTTTGTTGGAGACTTTTTCCTTCCTCAGAGCTCCCTCAGGTAGTGGCAATGGTTGCACAATTCTAGAAATATACTGAAACCTGCTGTATTTTACACTTCAGAAAGATGAAGTTTATGGTATGTGAATTATATCCCAATAAATCTGCTAAATCAAAAACTCTAACAAGGGACCAACTCTGCTAAAAATGTTCTTCTGGTGAGAAATGTGAGCTTCGTGAAAATTAGACTTGCAGAAACAAGCAACATCCTCTTTCCTAGAGGGAGAGAAGCTCCACAGTTAACACCAGGAAGGGGCCTGGAGTCCAGGTGACGAGGGAGCCATTGCTTCTCCCGCTGTAGCTGACTGCCCACCTTACCACAAAGTAGTGCTGGGGGAGCATAAGTATCTCTCCAGAGACGATAAGTTCTTCCAAGCCCTGCTGGCTCCACCTGTACCCACAGCCTCTCCCCACCCTCTGCCTTTCTATCCATCGGTTATAATTCCAGATACCTGAAGCCAGATGTGGACAAGAAATCCAAACATAAGACAGCAGTAAAGAAGAAGACCCTGAATCCAGAGTTCAATGAGGTACAGGGTCTGGCAAAGCCACGGGAGGCCCAGGAGGGATTGGGTTCTCAAGGGTCACAGCTTGGAGAGTGGGAAGAGAGGGCGGGGAGGGGCTGACAGGAGAGACCTCAGCTGTGGGAGGCAGGAAGAAGCACAAGCCAGGCTGAACCAGGCCAAGGTAGTGCAAACAGAGGGGAGGAGGCAGCCTAGAAAGATCTTCAGAGGATGAAACTGACAGGATTGTGGCCACACTGGATGTGGAGCTGAAAGTGGAGACACCCAGCAGCAGGAGTGGGAGGTGTGAGGGAGATGGAGGAAGCTCTGGGCAAGGAGCAGAGGGGCCTCGGGCAGAGCCTGAGCAATGCAGGGACAGACAGAGGTGGCCGAGAAGATGCTTCCGGGGGGGGGGAGTCCACAAAGAAGGCACTGGTCAGCAGAACTAGACCCAAGAGAAGTGAAGCACACCAAGGCTGTCAAATGTGAGTTGATTTGGCAAGAAGGAGGCTCTTGGGGATCTTGAGAGAGACTTCAGTGACAAAGGGGTGGGTAGGCTGGAGTGAAGAGGACCTGAGGGGCCAGGTTCTCGGGCATACGTGCACAAGAGGGCTGAGAACCCACCACTGTCCACCACCGTGCACTGACCACCCTCCCATCTCCCCCTCAGTTCACACCCTCACCATTCCTCAGAACCCTCCTAGCCATGTGGCATTAGCCCTGACTCTCCCCTTCTGGCCACCAGGAGTTCTGTTATGAAATTAAGCATGGGGACCTGGCCAAGAAGACCCTGGAAGTCACCGTTTGGGATTATGACATCGGAAAATCCAACGATTTCATTGGTAAGAGAACATGGCTTCAGCGAAGGCAGTGGCCCTGAATCATACCATAGGCCTTCCTTCCTGGCCTCTGGGGAAATCTGGGGCCATAGACCACCTGCCCCCGCACACGAGGAGCTTCATACCTTATCTAGCCCAACTCCATGTGACAGAGGAGGACCCAGCGATGAAGAGAGACCTGGAGGGTCCTACAGGAGTGAGGTGGCAGTATCAAGTCGGCACTCCTGGCTGGACTCAGCCCTTGTGGCCCAAATCCCTGGTGGGCTTGGCGGCTGGGCATGGTAGAGCTGCCCTGCCCTTTCTTGCTCTTTCTGGCCCCCTCCCTTGGTCCCTAACATGTGCCACTGCTCTCTATCCAGCACTGCTCTGGTCCTGGGCAGAGAAAGGGCAGGATCCCTCGGCCCTGATCTGGGGGGCCAAGAGTATGGCATGGCAGTAAGACCACTGTCCACCCTTAGAGCCCCGTGGGCAAGGTGGAGAGTCCAGCCTTGGAGCATGGAACCTGGGACAGGGGAGGGGCACTGGTTCCAGACAGATGGGCCTGTGGGAGCCCCTGCCCCCAGGCCCCTGGCTGCCCTCTCGACTCCCCTTCTGCAGGTGGTGTGGTTCTGGGCATCAATGCCAAGGGCGAGCGCCTGAAGCACTGGTTTGACTGTCTGAAGAACAAGGACAAGCGGATTGAACGCTGGCACACGCTGACCAACGAACTCCCTGGGGCTGTGCTCAGCGACTGACTGGCCCCCACCTGCCGCCGCACCCACCCTTGCCTGTCACTTGGCCCAACACAGGCCTGGCCCTGGGCTTCCTCAGCTGCCACCAAGGGCCTCAGCCCCCACGTTGGGAGAGACCCAGGACACCTGCTCGGACACAGAACCACTGCAGCCCCCTCTTGGAGGCCATGGAGGACCCAGCCACTCCGAGGGACAAGGGCTGAGGGCCTGGCCTCCTTTCAGCCCCTGGGGCCTGACAGGGCCAGAGGTTGGAGGAGAGGAACTTGGCCTCAGCACCCACCCCAGGGACAGGTATGGGGCCATCCAGGGGGCAAGGGCCCTACTAGAGGTACGTCACAGGAGACCTGGGCTGAGAGGACAGGAGTGCAGGGCACCTTGGGGGGGCCAGTGAGAACTGAGAGGAACACTAGGAAGAGGGGCATGGGGGAAGAAGTTTGGAGATAGGACGACAACCATTCATCTCTGGCATTACTGGGCAGGTAGAGAAAAGTTGACCTGAGGAGCCAGGAATCCAGTGAAGCTCCCAATGAACGTGGGCATTTGACAGATGCTTCCCTTATTTTACAAGCTTCTGGGGGTGAATGAAACCCAGGGCGTGCCCTCAGGGAGTTCCCCCGCCTAGTCAGGGAGCTGGAAGCAAACCATTACAACAGGGAGTGAGGAATGCCAAGGCCAGCAGGCCCACCTGACTGCTAAGAGGGCAGGGAGGACTTCCCAGAGGAAGTCATCCTTCAGCAGGCCTTGAAGGGTAGTGGAATGTGTAGGCAGACAAAGGGGAAGGGCAGTGCAGGCTCTGGGAATGGTCTGCAAAGGCCTAGAGGAGAGAGAATAGTGAATGGGCCAGGGGCACTATGAGGGACTCAGGGTTTCTCTAGGGGGCAGGGTTTATTAGGACAGGAGTGGAACCCAGCCCTGCTACATCCGCAGCACTGGCTGCTAGGCCAGCCTGGGCTCAAAGCTGTGGGGGAAGTGATGTTGGTGCAGGGTCAAGTTCAGTCCTCAGACCTAGTTGGCTCACCTTTGATCACTTTCTCCTGAGGAGCACGGAGGATAGATCCTGCCTCTCCATCCCAGCATAAGCATCATGTCAGCTGTAATCAGAACAGAAAAGGGTCCCTTGTTTTTCATGAAAGGAAGCAAAAATTCTTCCTTGTCCTCACCCTCCTCTTCCTTTCTGCTGACCCCTCCACACACCTAGTCTTCTGGGTTTGGGACTAGATAGTGGGGGGACCCCATTTGGTTGTCTGTACATCCTGGCCGTACTATGGCCACTGATATTCCTCTCAGGAATACTGGGCAGCAGTCCAGAGCCTTGTTTCTGGGAAATCTAGGAGAGAGACACCCTGCCTGTAGGCCTGTCTATACCCTGAGTCAGGACCTCCAAAGAGGAGTTGAAGGATTGGGGCCCATGTCTGAAGCCCCAGACTTTTCCTGCTTAGCTAGGGGCCTTCAGGAATCTTGGATGAACAAGTGCATAATGAAGGAATTTCTGTGTTCAACCCATCACTGCACTAATGGAAGAGGGAGTCCAGAGAGGGAAGTTGATCTGCTCAAGGCCTGGCAGCCTTACCACAGCTGGGGCAGACCAGGCTCCATGGCCCCTGTTCCACCCCCAGCCCAGAGCTCTGGACACCACACTTCAGGGGAAGTAGGGTGCTGGGCTCACACAGGAGAGGTCCTGCTAGCTGTCGGCCTAAGGCTCTCCCCTGCCTGCTGCCTACACACAATGGTAGCAGCAGGGCTCACAGGGGTTGGCCCTTCTGCTGCAAACTCAAAGCACACCACCACCTGAGGCCTGGGGCAATGATGTGAATCCCACCAAGTGCCCATCAGCCTTTTCCCAGTTTGCAGGGAACACGGGACTCCAGCCCCCACACAGTACCTGGCAACCTTTGCCGGTCATGGAACCTTGATTTTCCCATCTTTGAGAAGAAGGCTTGCGTGTGTAGAGTCTTACATGCACGGTCTTAATGAATCTTCACAACCCTTGTGTCTGGGTGAGCTCTGGGTTTGTTAACTTTGCCTTTTGGAGGGCCTCATTCAGAGGGGAAACTCGCAGCCTCTCTGTGAAAACATGGAAATGCTCAGTGACAAAGCTGGAAGAGGCTGTGAGTCCACCTAGTACAACTTCCTTAGATACATAGGGAACCTGAGGCCCAGCTGAGACAAGAACCCAGGACTCCTAGCACCCAGTCCAGGGCCCTCTACTGCCCCAGGCTGTGCAGGTGTAGACTTGGCCCTGAAAGATGGTCCAAGCTGACCACAGGGAAGCAGGGCTTCTGCACAGCCATCCAAAGTGGAGGGTGGGGCACTTGGGCAGGAGGGCCCCCAGGGCGTGACAGAACCTTAACCAGAACCCTGGCACTGTTCTAGACCACATGCAGATTGTATCTCTGTTAGAGAAAAAGCTCTGCCTTTGACCCCAAACTGGCATCTTTCCTCTGGTCCATCAGATCCACAGAGATGGGAAATTTGACACCAAAAAAGTCATTCCAAAGTCAGGCGTCAGTAACCAGGGGGGTCTCCAGATGCACAGCATCCACCTCCACCACTGCCCTTCCTGGTCTCTGCCCCACCCACCGCCAGCACTAGCCAATCCCCGACGGGCCCGTCTTCCAACCCTGAAGCGGTAACCTCCTGACCTCTAGTGGCGAGAGCGAGGAACTGCACCTCCGGCCCGTGCATGTCCAGTCTTTGTTCCTTCCCAACTGAGAACCTCTCAATGCATGGACTCTGGCTGTCGTCGACGCAGACTCTCGTGCACTGCTTAACACTGTTTTGCTACCACGTGATGGCTGCAGAAATCGTCCTTAAACTGCAGCCCCACACACAACTTTTGTACTTTCATCTGACCAACCCGGAGGTGTCCTTTTTAAGTCTTATTTAATATTTATAATGACATATAATCCAAAATAAATGGAAGCGCTCACTGCAATCATTGGCTTGGGAGGTCACTGAATAGATTTGAAAGAGCAGGCAGGAAAGAATGAGGAAATGGCAATTGGGGGTTATTCAGCACATTTTCTCATTTACTCCAAGAATCAATTTGAGGTTAGATCTCCACGTTACAGATGAGAAAACTGAGGTGCAGAGAGGTTGCACCTCTGGTAAGTGACAGAACCAGAATTCAGCTCATGCTTCCCAAGACTTTTTACACTAGGAACAGCATGCAATGCTATCAGCCAACCATTCAACAAACAGCTGTGGAGCATTAACTTTAATGCCAGGCACTAGTCTAGGCTCCTAGGGCAAATTCATCAGCAAGACAGTCAATAAACAGTAAATGCAGTAATATGTTAACAGATGGAAAAAATGGACATAAACCATGTGGGCCAGGGTGGTTAGGCTTAAATGGGGAGATCATATGGATGTCTGGAGAAGAAGACTTCTAAGCTAAAACTTGGAGGGGGTGACATGGGGAGCTACAGGGATACTTGGAGGAGTGTTCCAAGTGAAGGGAACAGGCTTAGAGTGACAGGAATAGCAAGGAGGCCCATGTGGCTGGAGCAGAGTGGGGCAAGGGAAGAGCAACAGATGAGGGCACAGAGGTACAGGAGACCAGACCAAACGGGACTTTATAAAGACTGGCTTTCAACTCTGCATGAGATGGGAGCTGACTTCATTTCTAACAGGCCACCCAGTAGAGAACAAACCTGTGGCAGGTGATCAGTTCCTGTTTGGAGGTATCTCTCATGGTGGTGTGCCAGGGAGTCCAGGGTTCAGTCTAAATGGTATCCAGTCTCCAGAGCAGTGGCAGCTGGGTCCTAACAGAGCCTGCTGAGACATGACTTCGGTCAAAGTTCTGGCCACCAGCCTCCCTTAGCAACCGCCTCTGTGCTGGCCTAATTTTCCAGGCCGCCTGCCCATTCTCTGAACTACCCAATACCCTTCCAGTGCATTCCTTTTCTGCTTACGTTAACCAGAGTCAGATCCTGTTATTTTCGACAAAGAAAACTGCCTGGTTCTCTGATGCAATCTGATCTAGGTCTCCATTCAAGTATTACCTCTTTGTGAGGCCTGTCCTGACAACCTTGGTCACTTTCTCCCACATCACCTTGTCGTTTCTTCACAGCATTTTATCAACAAAATCATCCTATGTATTTGATTACCGCCCCCCCCCAACATGCATGAGATTTGGGGCCATATCCTCCTTATTTACCCCAGTAACTCTAGACCAAGACTGAGCATGGAGTAGTCCTCTAATAAGTGTTTGTTGAATGAATGGATGAAAGGACCCCAGGTACCACAGGGTAATCCTGCGTAGCAAAAGGGAGAGAATGAGAGAAGGGGGAAAAGGGGAGAAAGGAAGGCTGGAAGGAGAAAGGAGAAGGAAGGCTGAGGAGGAAAGGAAGAAAAGGAATGGGCCTGGGACAAGCTGCAGAGGCAGGTGAAGGTCAGGAAAGCCAGCCACTGCTCCACTGCACTCGGCTCCAGGGGAAGTGTCAGCCCAGAATGGCTGAAGATAAGGCTTTCCTAGTGTCCAGTCTCCCCAGGGAGAGTGCTCCAGGCTGGGGCTGAAGAGAGATGTAGAAACAAATCACAACAGGAGAGGCATGTCCCCAGGCCCAGAAGCAATGGGGACAGGAAAGCAGACTCATTGTCCAGTGGAGCCTGTGCTGTAGTATTAATCCCGTTAGATAAGATTCATTGGTGCATAAACAAGCACTGTGCTGCACTCTTTATGAGAATGTTAAACAGATCATCTTCCAGCCAGGAAAACTGTACAAAACAAGTCTAAAGATAGGTGCAAAATGAGGTCACACACTAAGGGCAAGACTGACAGAAGGTTCAGAGTTCAGCCCATGGACTATGAAAGACCTGGGCCATGAGAGGCAGGGACAGGTGAGGAGCCGGACATGGGCACACGTGGTTTCTGGGAGCACCACCACCCCCTGTGGATACTGAGACCTGGCCAGGGCACTACTTGTTCACAAGGGCACCCTGGAGCAGTCCCTGACTCCCCAGGGTGTTCCAGCACAAGCAGAGGCAATGGTGGGCAGCCTCCTCCAGAGACTCTGCTTTCCCCCCAAATATTCCACCACAATGAAGGCAGCAACCCAACGTGTCTGCCCCTGAGCACAAGTCCTGAGCACAGAGGGAGAATGACAGGACCATTCTGGGGCAGGCAATTAGTTCCTGTGCTGTTTCCGCAGGGAGTCCTTAAAGACTAAGAAAATAAAAGGGACCTGAGAGAAGGTGCTAGTTACATTAGTGGCAATAACACAGAGAGAGCTCTCAGTAAGACAGACTGTTCTGTAGTGTTGTACTCACTTAATCCTTCCCCCTTATGAGATACTGTTTAATCCTCACTTTACAGATGGGAAAACTGAGGAACAGAGTAGCATGCTCAAGGATGACTAAGGGGTTGAGCTGGGATTTGAACCCCAAGCCTTATGGCTCCAGAATCCATACTCTAATTTGTAGAATATGCTGCTGGATGAAGCAGTTGGTGCTGCCACACCTAGAAGACTCTCAGGTCCTTCCAGGTCCCTTGCAGATTCAGCCCCACTTGCCCCCAAGCTCCCAGAACTAGAAAGGTCCTGCTCTGCCAGGAAACATTTCCTGGGGCTCACCCTCAGGGTCCTTATTGTCAGTCTTGACCAAACACAGTGTTCCTCTTTGCCCAGTGGGCTTCCATCTGTCACAAGTCCCAATTTCCTTCTGTGTGTCCCCTGGACCCAGCAAGGCAAGATCTCTTATCTAGAGAAGATGTGGAACTGGGGAGCATTTGTGTGGCTTTCCAGGGGCCAGGTGTGAGCCAGTGTAAATTTACTGCATTATGGGAATCAAAAAACTGAGAAACCAAGACCTCTCAGAGCCTCCTGGTTCTCCTCCCCACTGCTCTGCACCCTCTTCCATCCTCTTGCCTCTCTCAGCACTTACTTTCTCAGCTGATTCATTAGCACATAAATGATCTAAAACAGTTGCCTCATAAAAAATAAATTAAAATGGTGGCCTCATGAGGATGGAGAAAAGGGAACCCTAGTACACTGCTGGTGAGAATGCAGACTGGTGTAGCCACTATGGAAAACAGTGTGGAGTTTCCTCAAAAAATTAAAAATGGAACTACCATTTGACCCAGTGATCCCACTTCTAGGATGTATCCTTAGAAACCCAAAACACCAATGAGAAAGAAGTTATGCACCCATGTTCATAGCAGTGCAAATTTACAACAGCTAAGATCTGTAAACAGCCTAAATGTCCATCAGTAGGTGAGTGGATAAAAAAGCTATGGGACATTTACATCACGGAATACTACACAGCTGTAAAGAAGGATCTCTTTGGGACCACATGGATGGAACTGGAGAGTTATTACGCTAAGCAAACTAAGCCAGGCAGAGAAAGACAAGTACCACCACATGATCTCACTCATATGTGGAATATAATGAACAAAATAAACTGATGAACAAAACAGATCTAGAGACACAGACTCATGGAACAGACTGAGGG